TACATATATATGTATATATAGTATAACAATTTATTTGTATAATAATAATAATAATAATATATAGATATTCGTATATTTACACATATATATTGATAATTTTATCTATATTTCTTGTAGAAGTGATGGAAGTCAAAAGGAGAAGAAAATTAGCTGCAGTAGCTCTTTTCTTATCAATAGATAGAGAACGGAAGAAATTAAAGATGAAAAAAAAAAGAAAAATTTGGACTAGAATGTGGTTACAACGCAGAGAGACAGGACAAAATGTCTTAACAATGCTGTATAAAGAATTAAGGTGTGTGATAATATTTATTCATATATTGTATATTATGTTTATGTAACATTTTAATTATTTTATTTGAATGATCTATATCTGCTTACATTTACATCTTGTATATATTATTAATCTTATGTATTTTAGTGTTGAAGATCCAAGTTCCTTTTTAAATTATATACGTATGGAACAATATGTGCTTGAGGAGCTGTTACAATTCGTTACGCCCTATATTCAGAAACAAAATACTGTAATGAGAGAAGCCATTTCTTCTCGAGATAGATTAAGTATTACACTATGATTTCTTGCTACTGGTAATACATTTCAAGATTTATCAAATTCAACTCGGATTGCTCCTAATACACTATCTCAGATCATACCTGAGACATTAAAAGTTATTGTAACAGTTCTCGAAATAAAGTAATCGCTTGTCCATCAACTGCAATGGCGTGGCAAGCTGTAGCAGAAAAGTTTAATACATGGTGGCAGTTTCCTCATTGCATAGGTGCATTGGATGGCAAACATATCAATTTTCGACTACCAAGAAAAGAAGGATCTATGTATAGGAATTATAAAGGGAGAGATAGTATCGTACTTCTTGGTCTTGTGGATGCTGAATAAAGATTTTTATTTGTAGATATTGGAAGGAATGGTCGCATGCATGATACTTCCGTATTTCGTGAGAGTTCTTTGGCTACGCAATTATATTCCGAAACACACACATTAAATTTACCGTTACTATCTCTTTTACCAGGATATGATACTCCTCTACCATATGTAATTGTGGCAGATGATGCCTTTCCGTTAAAAGTATACATAATAAAACCATATCCTGGTCGTGATCTTACTTTCCAAAAGAAAAGTTTTAATTATAGACTAAGCAGAGCACGCAGAACTGTAGAAAATGCATTTGGTATCTTGGCGAACAGATTTCGTATTCTTATGAACATTATTCCCCTTTCAGTTGAAAAAGTAGAATTAATAACTTATGCATGCTGCGTGCTCCATAATTATCTTATAGACAAAAAAGTGTCATGGTATGTTCCATTGGAATTAAAAAACAACTGATATAATACAACCAAATATAAGTGGCATATCACGACAAGGCGGAAATCATTGTTCAAACACAACTAGTACAATTAGGGATCAATTTTGTGAATTCTTTAATACGGTAGGAGCTGTACCATGGCAAGAAAAATATATACAAGAAGGACGATGTTAATTAACTTTTATTTCATTAAAAATATAATTTGTATTCTTGTGTATTTTTAATAATTTTGTACTTGAAATATAATTTATATTTCTGCTTTTATAACATAACATAAAACAAAATCACAACAGGCATCTATTGTATTTTTTATTACTATGTACCTTATAATAATTTTGTACTTAAAAAATTCATATTTGTGCTTTTGTAACATAACAAAACACAAAATCATAACAGGCACCTATAGAATTTTTTATTACTATGTACCTCTTACAAGCACCTTAGTAGTACCTCGTACAAACAGTAATATGTAAAACTAGGAACAACTTTACTAAAATTAACTTTTAGACCTCTAAAACAATCTCTTTATTATAAAACATGTATGTATATGAAATTTAAAATCATAAACACGAAACATAAACACAAAATCATAATCACGAAACATATAATAAACTGTTTATTATTACTATGCTTATTATTAGTATTGCTGAAATTATGTATAATAGAACATGTAAACAACAAAAGTTATTTCAGCACAAAATAAAAAATCAGTCTCAAAAGCATATGCCCGGTATTGAACCTAATACACATTTACAATAGCTATAAAAAGTAACAAGGAGAAGTAAGCAATTGGATCAATCACAATCGATTCTTGAATTGTAAGAATGAAATTGGTCCATTTATTTACTACTTACTTTTTATAGTACTAAGTCCTACTGCCATTGTAGATGATGCATAATATAGCAATACCTGTTATGAAACATCATTACTCATTTTTGGGCTCTTTCTAAGTCCATTGTACTCATATTAATTACAGTTTGTACCAAAGTGTTCATAAGATCTAATTTTAACTCTGGACATTTCAATTCTTTTATAAGAGAACCTAAAAATTTCATGCAATTGTTAACCGTATCGTCATTGTCTACATTATTGGTAGGTTTTGTCGACGATGGTGTTTTTAAAGATTGAGCAATAGATTGAATTGCATCTACGTAAACATCATCACTTTGAGTTTTGCGTTTTTTGGAGATACGACCAGAAGATGTATATGCTCCTTCGTTGAGCACACTAGATGATGCTGTTGACGGTACTGGTTTTTCTATTGAAGATGATAATGGACTTGCAGTATTTACTCTATGCAATACTGCTGAAGTCCTAGATATTGATTGATTTTCTTTTGTTGCATACAGTTTTTGTGTTGTTACACTTGGAATTGTATCAGTCGTTGATTCGTCGAGTGTTCATATTTCACTGTCATTTACTTCAATTTCTTCTCCCTCATTTAGGCCAACATATCCGATTTCGGTTGTCATTTCATTATTATCTAATTCTTCTTCCTATAATTTAATATCTAATTAATAATCATGATAAAAATAAATGCAGATTTAAACGTAAAACCAGCGGCACACGAAACATATTTTTCTACTGAATTATTTACGTTTTGGTAAATTACTAGAAATACTGCATTCAGTGGTGTAATTCTAATAATTTACTAAAACACAAGTAATCCAGCAGGAAAACATTAAAAAGTTCTGGATAATGATAAAATATTTGTTAATAAAGAATAACTAAGAATCAGATTTTCTGTAAAAGCTTAATAAAACATAAATAGAATAATAATAGATGCAAATAGTAATTAGTTTCAATTTGTAGATATTATAAATACATACCTGTGTTGAAACAGTACTTGTGTTTACAACAACTTCTGTATTTGGTAGCGACGATTTGTTTTTTCTTGGTATAACATGTTCCTCTAGAAACTTAAGAGAGTCATAATACCATAGATTAGGCCTATAGACCTATAAAACAGATATTTAATTTTAAATATACGTCATTATTCCATGACTTACACATATTAATAATTAATATACTCACATTTTCAGTGCCTATTTCACTCTTAATTGATTGTCTCACTTTTGCATTTTCTGTGTTAAACTGGTTTCTAAGATTATGTAACTTTACACTACAATCCTTTTCATTAGAATATGGTTTAACTGTGGAAACTACAGCACTAATACGCTTTAATGCTTCATTTCTTATTAACCTGAAATCGTCAACTTTAACGCTTAATAACTCGGTTCGCGGGGCAGAGCGACGCTTATTTCTGCCAGATTCTTTCGTTTTAAGCAAAAACGCATCGAATGAGCCTATGTTCATCGATTTTTGATGTGAGCGGCTAAACTGTATAATTACTAAAAGTTTTGTTGATATATGACCAACAAAAAGTTTTTCGTTGTCCTAACCCAAATTTGGTTATGCTAACAAAATTTTTTGTTAGAATAACAAATTTTTTTGTTAGTCACATATTCTAACAAAAACTTTGTTGTCCTAACCAAAAATTTGGTTAGAATAACCAAATTTTGGTTAGGACAACGAAAAACTTTTTGTTGGTCATATATCAACAAAACTTTTTTCTGAGTAGAGAGAAAGATACATGATTAATGATCAATTAATTTTCATATAATTTTATTCAAAACTTACTTTTCTGACTCTTTCTCTTTGAGTTTTGAACACTTCAAACACTTTTTTTTGATAACACTTTTTGTTGTAAACACTTTTTTTCGTTTGAAAGGTTATGACCGGTAACTTCTGTTCGTGTGTTTTATACCATGCTCATGTGAAGCGAAAACAATCAGCGATGTCATCTTAATTGCATGCAAAGCTGCCAACAGAGTAGCAGGCAAAGAAATCTATCAACGAAACCAGCAGCTAAACACGCACCGTGTGCCGTAGGCTTAACACTCAACATCCAAGTTATCAATAACACTCAAGTTGAGAGTTATACTCAGGTTGAGCGTCCAAAATAATCATTAATTGAGTGTTACCTTGAGTGTATTTTTTCGGTATTTTTTAAAATGTAAACACTCAAATTTTAAGAGTTTTTTCCGTAAGGGTTGCCCCTATAGTGGGGTAAATTAGTATACACGTCATAGGTTAAGTTGCCCATATCAGGGCCGGCGACTATTGTGTTGAGGGTGTTGAGAACTCAACATCCAGTCGGTTATAGGGTG